CATTTTGACGTCACAAGGGGAGGGGCCTATACACGGTCGAGAAACAGCCCGCGACTGGAAATCTACCCCCGGACATCTACCCCCGTTGTCAGCTACGCTACGTATCGGCCAAGATGCATTGTTGTAATTGATTTTTTTAATTGGTTTATGTAGATCAACGGCTCTTCGGTTAATCATTACCCTCTAATATCTAGTATTAAGCATGTGATATTGGTCATTGGCTTGTTTAGCATTATCTATATTCCTAATTCAATAAGCTGTAACAGTCCTTTTTCACCTGACCTACTTCATCGATTTTTACGATTGAGGTGCCATTTTAAAGCTTAAGACCCATTGTAGCACATTCTCATATTCAGAGAATGTATAACGCTTAATAAGTCCTAACTTAATTGGAAAATTCTACCTTAAAACAAAACTTCTCAACTTATGGCCATAAATAAGTGTTCAAAATTAATTCATAAGGTTTAAATGGTTGGTTTAATTTATATCCAACAGAAAACAGTGTATAAATTTGCAGTCAGTGGCGATTAAGTATATTATCCGTTATTTCCCAACCAGCTTTGACAAATATCATAAAATATGTTTTTGTTTTATTTATTTTCAATTAATTCTTTGTGTAAACAACTAGACTTTTAGGCCAATGGCCAATGCAAAACTCCAAGGGATTAGGCTACTTCGTATTATTAGAGGAGAATTGATAATGAAATCATTAATTAATTTATTGATCAACCAGTGGCAGGCTTTTTATCAATATTTAATTGCATTGTATTTTTACCTCTAGTAATAAGAAATAAGCCTCCTTCAATGATATGTATTAAATTTCACGATCTGCGCTCGTGCATGCGCCGCTAGCTGTTACTGTATGTGAAAGTTGGTCAACCATTTAAATCACTGTCTGGAAATAAATCAAATGATTAAGGGTCAAACTTTTGAAGCCCTTTATCAAAATATCATTTTAATTACCATTTTGCGTTGCGCTGGATCTTAAGATTAAAAATTACACCTCAATCATAAAAATCGGTGAAGAAGTTCGGGTGAAAAAGGGCTGTTACAGCTTATTTCATTAGGAAGATAGATAATGTTAAACAAGACGATGACATATCACTAGGGGTGTGTGAGTATTCGAACATCGAGCTTTTTCGAGCCGAATAGGACGCTATTCGGCTCGGCTCGTGATTTTCAAAAAGTTCAAAATGTTCGAGCCGAATACTTATTGAACTAGCAAATAAAAATTAAATTAATAAATAAGGAACTAACTTTCATTTAAATTTACTCTCCTCCGTTTCATAATTGTGTCTTGATAAGCACGAACCTCAGCTCAGTCAAGACGCAATGATTATCGATCGTAATTTTGAGGAAACTACCACCTATCGGTTGTCTTTCTAACACAACTATTCGTATCGTAATTACAACGCAGTGCGAGTGCGTGATTGGCTAAGTCGCTATGACGAGACACGGTTGCCGTGGCAACCTACAGTGCGCACTGAGCACTGCGCCTTGTGTGGGAGGGGAGATTATACCAACAAACAATTTCAGGAATTCTATTTTGGGACGGATGAAAGATAAGGAAGAAACAAAAAGTGGTCACGTGTGCAAATGTAGTGGGCGAGAAAGGCTGTAAACGAGTATCGTCGTGTCGTTGTTCCTTGTTTGTTTACTTTTTCAGATTCCTTATCAAACGCCCCTATCTGCTATCTCTCTTTCTCTCTCTCTCTCTAACAATGTACTGATTAAACAGATTGTGGTTGACGACTTTTCTACTTATAAGTTTCCCTGCGGTTATTTTAGTTCAATCAATCCCATAACCTTTCTAATGTTTATCAAAATAATTAATTAATATGTTTTGTATTTTATTTCCTTTAAACCAACCCCTATTTACCATCTGTATTTTATAGAATAATGTTTGTTTATAAAGTTTGACTGGCCACACAATTTTGTACCTATTTTATTTTGTATAAAGTAACAGTTACTTTGAGGATTATATTAATTTTTGATAGTACATGGGTCATTGAATACCATAATGTGATGTAGTTTCCTATTTGTATCTTGCAAATAATAATAATTGATAGTTAATTCTGGAAATGAAAAATAGTGATCTCATTCATAAACCTGTTGTCAAAACAGCAACGAGGGTGTAAGGGTTTATTGTTTCAGACGCAAGGGTGTTTCAAGGACAAAGTGTTGGGCCACCCGGATTGGGGGGGGGGGAGGGGGGCGGTGAGACTGTGTGAAGGGGAGGCAACTGGTTTTGGCTATTTATTGATTAGTTCCGCCGACCCTTCTAGATAACAAAATTGAGTGACAGTGTTAAATCATCGTATTCTGCATTTCATTTCTTGTTTACTTTGTGTGTTATTCTATTAATTCTAGTGCTTTGGTCTATTTCCTCTATATGCCAATTATATATTTTTTAATATATAAGTAAAACTTGTCTCTCCACCTTTTTGGATCCAAACCAACCATGTTCTTTTTTGATTAATAGGATTCGTAAAACAAAAATATTTTGTGCATGGAAAACAACAGGAATAATCATGTGTTTTTTAATTTATTTTGTATTTATTTATACAAAATAGAATTAAATATTCATAGTAGTTACAATATACATATGTAATCGACTTGCTAGTTGTTTTGTCGTCATTCAAGGTCGCGTTGCTGTTCTGTTATGAAAGACAATCTGATTGTCTCAGTCTGCACTGCATATCTCTTCAGGCCTTCAATCGATATCCTTTTATTTCTTGCATCTTCATTTAGTTCAGTTCAGTTCTTATCGTGATTATCTACTATTTGATGTCTTGACAATTCTCAATGTTTTTAAACATATTAAAATAACATTGTGTTTATTGTAATCAACCTTCAACTTAAGTCTACAATGGAAACTCCATGTACAATTTCGAAACTTAAATTTATTAATTATAATACAAAACTGATAGTAAAAGAAAAGAAAAGGGTTCACAATAAATTGTACAAACAGTGGGAAATGAATTTACTTTAAAATCTTTAGGCTAGGCCTATTACAATGGTTTTAATTGTTTAGGTTCAAGTGTTATAATTTACTGCAAGGATCTTTATCTCAGGTGGGGTGATCGAGCGGCATTTGAATTTAATCTTGTGATATAAGCCTAATTAAATTTTGTTTTAAAATATAAAGTATGTTAGAATTATAGATTGTTTGAATTAATAATAGTTCTGAATAAGTTAAGCTTCTATTAGTTCTTGACTTTGAATTTGAGTACAAATGTCCAAAGGTTAGGCCTAAAAAAAATTGTAATGGCTTCCAAAGGGAAAAATGTCTATTGGAGTGATCTCACCAAAATTGATGTCTTCTTTGAAGTAAAGTTCTTGATGTTATAAATGATTAATGTTCGTAACAAGGATGGGTCTTCTTTCAACAAATTCCACTAATTTTGTCTTAATAATGTACTTTTTTTATAAAATTTTGATATTAAATATGTAGTATCCAATTTACATCTTCATACTATCTTGGCTCTATTGGAAGTGATGACGGTCTGATGCATTGTTGCACTCACATATGTCAATGCTGACTTAATCACATAAAATTGTAGGCCACTGTTTACACATATATATTATAACAAATTTCATTTGCTATAGAGCTATATTATAATTTTGAAAAGTTATTTAAATAAAATTATATTGAATTTGAGGCAATTTTGTTACAAAAGTTAGAGGCTATTATATATTTACATGAAATTATGTTATTTGAAAATTTCTATATTATATTGTATTAAATTGATTACCTATTGGTCTGCATGGACAATTACTATATATGGTTTGAAAAGGGATTGACATTTAGATAAAAATATAAAATGAAAAACATATGGTGGAAATTAACTTATTCTATTAAAAAAAATATTAGTGAAAATATTGAATTGTTACATTATTTAAAAATTGACTGAACATTATTATTATTATGCACTTTTTTAAGAAAAAAAGTTTAATAATTAAGATAAGGTTACGCTAGGAAAAGCTCGGCTCGAAAAAGCTCGAGCTCGAACATTTTTTAAAAAGCTCGGCTCGGCTCGGCTTGAGGTTGAAAATCACTATTCGCACACCCCTACATATCACATGCTTAATACTAGATATTAGAGGGTAACGATTAACCGAAGAGCCGTTGATTTACATAAAGGAATTAATAAAATCAATTACAACAATGAATATTGGCCAATACGTGGCAGAGCTGATACGTGAGGTAGATTTCCGGGGGTAGATGTCCGGGGGTAGATTTCCAGTCGCGAGCTGTTTCTCAACCGTGTATAGGCCCCGCCCCTCGTGACGTCAAAATGACGTAGGCGTTTTTTTCATGGGGGTAAATATCCGAGGGTAGAAATCCGGCGACCCCAAGATTATCTGTGTCCAAAGTCCATATACAAAACTACCAAAGACTCTACATGGACACAGATAGTCTTGTATATGGACACAGTTAGTCTTTGACATTGCCTAGCCATATGAATTATTTTTAAAAACCAGCCCTTGAAAAAAGAAAAAAAAGTATCCGTATTTGGATCCGAAGATCCAGATCCGATGTTTTCAAGATCTGGATCCGGATCTGGTACCGACATTTTCTTGGATCCGCCCATCACTAATATAAATATATATTTATCGTCCTAAAAATAAACAGTATGTGTGTTTCAAGTGTTACTGGACGTATTTTTTTTTTATTTTCTGTAAATAAAACTCTTAAAATTCACAAAAAATAAATATAAACATAAAAAAAGAAATATATCCCATTAATCCTGGGATTAAAAGATGTCAATAATGGGATTTCTAGGCATAAAAAATCGACCGGGATCCTGGAATTGAGACCCCTAACCGCAGACCCCTATTAAATCTTAAACACCGCCAGTGCTTCTGACAATCACCAAACACACAACGTAACTACAACAAAGCCTATCATTAAAACGTTGCTAGTGCTAGAAACGGCATTTACTATATAAGAATATTGATAAAACAAAACTTGACTCTAACTGAGACAGCTGTATTACCTAGAGTTGAGATATGTAGGAACAGCTGAGATATACTGGTACTGGCCATCAGAGAGGTTTCCCACCGCTCTCTCACCAGCTGTGCTGCCTTGCTTCCCTTCTCGTTGCTCTCTTTCTTTTCGAAACCTGTAAAAGCGCAGTGTATAAAACACTGAAATATCAGATGAGATGAAAAGTTTTAACTACGAGTATTACCATTGTCTATTAGATATTACCAAAAGATCACATGTAATTCTAGTACATTTTAAAACATGTCAATATAATAAATAATGATGATGCAGTAGAACCTCGCTAATCCGACCTCTGAACCTCTAATAGACCTCTGATGGTCCCACTCCTCGCTTGGTCCGACCGTGCCGCCAACACAATAGGCTTCCTCTAACATAACCTCATTGTCCAAGAAAAATACCCAGAAAACTTTATAAAGTCTAATGTGTTGACATTTGTTGTATATTTAACCATGTCTGCCCATTGTTAATCTTAAGTAGGCTCCCACATTATTGTTTTTGGAAAATCACAGTTCATTTGACAAAAATAAAATGGAATCAAAACAAAGAAATGTCGAACAAAGCTTCAAGGTCAAGCTATCCGTTTACACTGACAATCGTCTGCTCCTTAGTCCTACACATGACACATCTGTCTGCTGTGCGCTTGCTATGTCACAACATTTTGTTATTGGGTATTTGGTAATCATGAAAACTTAAGTAGCCTGTGATTGGGTGTTTAGGCAACTTGTTGAATAATAGGATGAAGAAAAACTTAAGAAAGAATAGAAGAACAAAGAGAAAAAATAAGCGGTGTTTTTATGTTATTGTTAAGTATATTTATCAGTGTATTTTACGACTGTTATGCTATAAGTAGGCTACTATTATTTTTTATGCGTTATCTAATTTTTTTATCAACATTCTTCTGTCCTCAAACAGCGTAGCAGTAGCACATGACTAGCAGTAACTTACTAGACTTCTGTTCTTTATTTTGCTGTGCAATGTTTGGCAATTTGTTTGTTTGAGTAAAAGTTTAAAAATCCTTTAATTTTAAACGTTACAGTTTTTATTACTGAACTAAGGGTAAAATGACATAACATAATTATTATCATGATTGCGCAATAGCCAACTAATTGTATTTTTATGATGTAATATGCAAATTATTACATTAACGTCCATTTAGTTTATGAGTTGGAAATAACTGTTTTATGCCATGTTGGATTAAACCGTGGTCTGTTCAAAATACAGTTTTACTACGTTTTTATGACAATAGACACGTTTCCTCTGATAATCCGACCTTTTTGCTGTTCCGACCATGCTCCCGGTCCCGTAGGTGACGGATTAGCGAGGTTCTACTGTATGTTTTTATTTATTTATATTTATTGTTTTTATTTTTATTTATTGTTGGCCCTAAAAACACAATACACAAACTATTTATTTTTATTATTATCATATTTAATGGTCGGGACAAAATGATTTGATAAAATAATAATTTAAAGATATAACAGTAGTTGTTTGTAAATATATTTGAAATATAAAAATTAAAATATATGTATTACATTGTTAATGATAGATAGTAAGATTGATTAGATTTTACAAAATAAAAGAGATGAAAAACAATTGATGGTTTATTAACATGGTTGAGAACAAAACTGATAAAATGTAAACAAGTAAGTAAATAGATCATAACAATTAATAAGACATATGACTTTATCCTCAAATGGCAGGCAGTAGAGAGTATACATAGAGTACTTCTAACATACTCCCCCCCAAATTGCAACAGGGAACTGGGCAATTTTATTCTGTGACAGGAAGAGGGCTTGAGTGTTCCAGTAGCTGTCTTCAGTGTTACCAAACGAATGAGGTTGTCAGGTCCGGGATTTTTGGCTGACTCTTTTAGTGGGAGTTGTAACAACATATCTTCCTCTTTCAGTCATAGAGTGCGTCGGTTGAAAGTGTTCTTCCCTTGTTTGATTTTCAGGAGATAAAACTTGAACTGGATCTTTGGCAAAATTCTCCTGTTCCCAAAACTTCTGAAGTAAATCATCTACTTTATTCTCCAGTAGGCAATGATACATTGATGATTTATTGTCATTGATGAATAATCCACATGGCCCAGATAAAACCCAACCAAAGATGGTTGATTGAGCAATAGGAGTTAGAGGCGGACCCTTGATAAGTCCAGGAAGAATGATCCTTCCATAAACATCAGCTCCAAGTATCAAATCTACAGACCCAGGGGTCATGAAATCTTGATCAGCTAGTTGAAGCTTCTTGATATGATGCCAGTTAGATTTACTTGGTGTCATAGTAGGTAACTTAGCAGTGAGTTTTGGCAGAATATGAGCTGTTAACGGACAGATGAATTTGTCATTAGATGGACTCCCAATTATAAGGGACACTGCTCCACGAGTAGTTGATGTTTGATTTCCTCCGATACCGATAAGAGAGAGTGAGGATGAGGAGCGTTCAATATGAAGAGTCTGCACTAGATGTTAGCTGATAAAGGAAATTTCGGAGCCTTGGTCGATTAGAGCTCTACACACAATGTTGTTACCTATCGAGCCGATTACTCTAACTTGAGCAGTAGCTAAAAGAACTGTGTGTCGATTTACAGTGGGGAGAGAGTGATTTGAGGACACTTGAGGCGTGTTTGATGGTTTGCTTTCAGAATTTGGCGGATTTGGGGGTCGATTAGTGGATTTGATTTGACTAGATATATCAAACGATTTACTGACAGCGTCATGAATCAATGAATGGTGGCGATTACAACATTTCACACATGATTTTTGAGATCGGCATTCTTTGAGCAAATGAGGGCCAAGACAGTTGAAACATAACCTGTTACTTGATAAGAAGTCTTTCCTTTGATCTGGTGTTTTAGCATGGAACTCTTTGCAATATGCTATGTAATGAGCATTACTACACAGTTTACATACATATTTTCGTTTCGATTCAGCTACCAAAGCTGTGTTGATGTTTGGATAATGCTGAGGAATACCTTGATGTTTTGGTAGATTTACCATTCCACTCGAGTGAGACACTTCCCTAGCTTCAATATTTTCTAAAGCCCGTACACGTCCCTCGATGAAGGTCTGTAGGTCTTGCAGCGATGATGGTTCTGTCGAGATGCCTTGGTGAAGCTCCCATGCCTCGTGTGTATCAGGATCTAGACGATGAACAGTCAGATATACTAAGATGTGATTCCATTGATCGATCGGCGAGCCAAGAGATTTGAGTGAGCCCAAACTCTCATTTACAGTTGAGATCAGATGATTAAGACCTTTGGCAGATTTTTGTTTTAAAGGTTGGATATTGAAAATGTCATCTAGATGTTTGTTAATCAAGACCCGTTTGTTTTCAAACCTAGCTACTAGTTTTTCCCAAGCTGGAATAAAGTTTTCCCCAGTGATTTGAAAACTAGATATCAACTGAGCAGCCTCGCCTACCAAGCTATTTTTGAGGTAATGTAATCTTGTTACATCAGTTAAGTCAGGATTAGAAATTACTAAAGAAGCGAACAGATCGCTAAACGGTTTCAAGGATTGATAATCTCCTGCAAACTGTGGCAAAGATATTTGAGGCAATTTTGGTCTGAGAAAAGAGTTGGATTTACTACTTTCTGTAATACTTGCATTTTGGAGAGATGACGTTGAGACTAAGTCAAGGAGGTCCAGCATTTCCGATTTGTTGATGAGGTAAGCTTCTTTTCCGCGGCTGTAGTGGTCTTCCTTAAGATAGTCGAGATTTTCCAGCAATTCGGTCTTTGATTCACAGATCCTCTCGTGATCTTTGTCAAATTTTTTCCAATCTGCTTCTAAACTTCAAGTCTTGTTTGTAGTTGAGTCTTATTTATAGTAGATGTATCTTTGTTTTTGAAAAAGGTTGAAGCATTTTCCAGGTGTTGTAGTCTTGATTTTTGGAGTTTGATTTTTGATTCCAGTGATGCCATGATGATTATGAATTTTCAAATTTAGGTAGACATAAAAGAAATTTTGATAAATAAAATCTCAGTGATATAGATACAAATGTTTTGATATGCTGTTGATCCGGCTCGAAGGACCACTAATGTTAATGATAGATAGTAAGATTGATTAGATTTTACAAAATAAAAGAGTTGAAAAACAATTGATGGTTTATTAACATGGTTGAGAACAAAACTGATAAAATGTAAACAAGTAAGTAAATAGATCATAACAATTAATAAGACATATGATTTTATCCTCAAATGGCAGGCAGTAGAGAGTATACATAGAGTACTTCTAACATACATTTTGTTTAACTATAAACTTAAATAACACATACTGTGTTAATATTATTGCTTCCAGCCTTCATGATGATAATAATACTGCCTTTTGCTATAGTTTTTCCTCAAGAAATTGACATTGATTTCTTCCTAAAAAGCCAGTCTTTGTTCTGTTATAAGTTATCAGTAGGGGTTTGCAGGGTGGGCCAGACATTTTTGCTTGAAAAAATATTACAGGGTGTCCACTAGGCCAACCATAAAAAAAATTATGAATAAACAAAAAATGCCAGGTAGTTCAGGTCGTACTTTTATACTAAACTTTCCAACGTGTTTTGCGTCAACTCCCGCAATGCTGTTTTAGCACTAACACAGGTCGCTATTTTAGTTATCGGAAAAAGCATTCTTAGTTAAAGAAACAAAATTTATGATACTGTAATATTGCCTGACACAAGTATATTCATTTGTTTATTTATATTACTGATTAGGAAATCCGAAAATTAAAAACTAATCCTTACACCTGCAATTTATCAATAACTTCTGAAAAAAAAGTGATATGTCGATACAAAAATTTATCGAATCTCCATACAGACACCTGAAAAAAAATTCGTAATACTGATGAATTTTTATTTTACCAAATTTTCTGTAAGGACTACTACACCAACCCCTGTCTTTATGTACTTTCATATAGTATGTATTTTTGGAGTTATGGGTTTTTTTTCAAGTGGCCTACAGAAATAATTAATGCAGAAATTACAAAAATTTCACATAGCCAATTTAAGTTTTAAATAGAGGTGGGCCGATACCGATACTCGATACCAAAATACTCTCGATACCGTCGATACTCGATACTTGCCTGTTTTGGGTTCGATACCGATACTGACACTGAACCACTGAAT